GAAAAGAGTGAAATGCAGAGTAAAGAAAACTTTGTAAAAGGAATAAAGGAACGAATAAATTGATTAAATTAAAGAGGTTGAAAGGTTAAAAAGGATAACGCGTAGAGAGAATAACTTGGAATCTATAATAAGGATAGAAAAACAAGAAACATTAGTGACATTACGTAAACCGACCAAAAAAAAAAAAAATGAGAGAAAATGAGAAAATGTGAAGTAAAAGAATCTATCAAATACAGTACAAATTCAATGGATTCTTTTTGCCGTTCAATAAGCATTAGATGGATAGAGTAATAATCAATGAATTCAAATATACAAATATTTATTGAGACACACAAAAAGAACGGGATTTTGTGGAGGGAGAAGAAGTGTAGTGTGACTTTATTTGTGTTTGTAGAGTTACACGGATTTCCAGGTAACTCAAAACTAGTTTATGATTTTTTTTTTTAACTTAAATAAAACTTTATTTATACCTAGCAAATCAAACCGTTGTACCCTGTTGGAGAGAAAGTATTAAAATACTTCATAAAAAAAAAAAAAAAAAAGAAAAAAAAAAGCCCCCCAAAAAAGGCCGGAGAAAAAAAAAAATATATATATATAAAGAACCATACAACAATAAATGAAAAGATGATTTATAAAAATACAATTCTCTTTGATGATGTTTCAGCCCAATCGACTAAACGAGAAGAAACTAGAAATTGGACAAGCAAGCAAACGAGAAAATTCGGATTTAAAATATGATAAATATGATTTCATACCAAAAACTGTTTGTTGATTGTTCCAACCAGATTTGGAATTATTCATACAAGTTTTTATTCTGCAGGTTTAATTTAATTAAATTATTTGTTGATTGTGGGGACAGATTGATTGTAGAGTATGGTGCTTTGAAATATGCTAAATGTAAAAAAAAAAAAAAAAAAAAAAAAAAAAAAAGAATTCAAAAGTACAACAATGTTTTCCGATCCTTTAAATATTGGAAATGAGCTCCCTAAAAAAAAAATAAATAAATAAAAATAAAAAATAAAGTACAAGACAAGAGAACCAGTTATAATTAATACCTAAATATGTTTGTGATCGCATTGTATTATATTATGTTTTTAGTGTTATACTTGTTTCAGGACCCTGAAATCTGAATGCAATTGTATCACAATATTTCGCGAAACGCAAATATGTCGAGAATTGAAAAGTGCGCTTCTTTTTCCGACCTTTACACCTATTCAATGGTCGGTCTAACTTAAAGCTATGAATAAATCAATCATTAATAAAGAAGAGAAACAAATGATATAAATTTCCAAAGAATCAAATTTAATATCATTGATCAATGATAAAATGCATTGTTCTTATTAAACTTTCTTGTGCTCCAAAAACCAAAAGGTAACATTCGCGTTTTTTCACTTATCATAGTCACACTTTAACAATTGACGGTACAACCAACATAAAATAAATCTGTAATCTCAGAAAATTATCAAAAAAGACTTGTATTCAAGTTTGATTGACAGGAAACATTATTCTTTTTCTTTTAATATAATTTTTCGGATTTCAGGACCGAATATTTGATGACAGAAAAAAAGGCGTAATCAACGGCCATTTTTGGCTAACGCATTACTCAAAACAAACAATAAATATATGTAAATCACTTATCTAATCACATGATCTATATATTATTCTCTTTGTTATATTACCGAAGGATTAAAATTCTCGGTCAAATTTCGGTAATTCCCAGAAAATTTAAATGAAGTAGATTTCCCCTTTAGGTCCAAAAATAGATCGTATTACTATGAGGCTCTTCAAGCAAAATAAAAATAAAATAAAAATTTTTTTTAAAATAAACAAAAAAATAATAAATTAGTTCTTTTTAGATCGATCATCAAGGAAATTGTTTAACAAACATCAATCCGCAGTAATATCATCCGAGTTGGATCCAGGAATGGGTTTGTTGTTTTCAATTTTCGCATAACTGAATATTGAAAGAGATGTCACGTGAAATACTCCAAGAATTCGCAAAATATTCTCTTCCCAAATACGGAAACAATCATTAAAACGTGCGAATTATCCAGAAGTAATGGATCGGGCTTTTTTTCTACGAATAGCCAATTACCTTATTTTATTCTCTTACGAAACCCACGAAGAAATCTCACTAGCCACGTGTTTTTTTTTTGTTTTTTACGTGGCAAAATATCTTTGCGCAATCATGTCACTATAATGAAAGTAATTGCCACTATGATTTGACCCTAAGGTGACATTATTAATATTTAATATTTACACCTTTATTTCCTTCACAATTTTTTTTCATGTTTGATAATAGATAGATAGATATATATATATATAAAGCAATCTTTGAAATGATATTTTATAACTGTAATAATTACAGAGCCCCTTTTCGCGAAATCAAAAGATCAAGTGTGGCTTCACTATTTGATTCGGTCTTGTACAACTTGGCTAGTTTTGAACCGTATTCGCATTTGCAAATAATTATTTTTATTCGTTTAAAGAATGTGCTTAGCTGAATAGAATAAAAAAAATCTGTCGTTATATGCATAAGTAACAAATAGAGTCTAAGCAGTTTGTCTAAGCAATAACGATGACAACATTTAGATTATACCATCAAATCCATGTCAATGAGCAAGTTATTGTCGAGCTTTTTTTTTGCAAAGAAAAATAACATTAGCTTACGAAACAAGTCAAAAACTGCGGCGCATTGCAAGATTTAGAATATTCCTCTTAATCTACAAATAATTAAAAAAAAATCAAAATTCCCGTTTAAAGTTTGGCGTTTTCCGATGTTTAGTTTCCGTGGCAGATCATATTTATTAAGGGTGGCTATAGAGTTGAACTTGTGTTCATCTCGTTTTTTTTTTTTTTTTGCCAAAATCAAACTCGTTAAATAACCTGAAAAAAAAAAAAAAAAATTTATATATATATCGACCAAAAAGAAAAAAAACCGAGATAAATTGGCGTAGTTAATTTTGGAGCCACAAATGGCAAATATAATATTGAGATTTCCTGAGAAACTTTTTTTTTTTTTGATGATAAATTGATGGTAATTCTGAAGAACCAAAAGAAAAAAGTATTTAAAAAAAGCCGCCCTTTTTTTTTTGTTGTTGAGGCTTTGTCGATCGGTTATAATTTAATCTCGCGTTTTATTTTATATTATTTTTATTTTTATTTTTATTTTTTTTTTTGTACAAAATTAATTTCTTTGAATTATATATATATTATACTGAACTTTCAGCAAAAAAAAAAAAAAAAAAAAAAATCGCATTATATTTAAAGGAAATTCAAAAAAAAAAAATGGCATCACCAATTAATCCGATCTATATAAATATTGGCGAATCCATACCGTCGTCACCAATCACCTCTAAACATCGAGTTGAAAAACCAGTTCTTACAACAGCGACAACAGATGTTCCTATGAAAGAATCAAAGGAAACGCCTTGTGAAGATGAGGGATGTGTAATGGCTTGTAGAACTATATTTATAAAGAGCAAAAGAGTTTTTGAGATCCTTACATATTTCCGACTAGCTGTCGCTATAACCCTTTATATTTTGATTACCATTGATTTGATTTCTATAAAACAAAAGAAGGAGAAAGTGTTTTGGGTGGAAGTTCTTATGCAGGCAAGTTGATCAAGATTATCCGCTTAAGTCGATATAAAGTGACTTTTTTTTTTTACAAGATTAATTGTGAATTCTATATATATATTGCAGGTTATCAATGCCGAATTTACACTTCTGACAATTATAGCGCATCCAAAAAGAATTATTAATTTACCGAGAGCAATAAAAATATGTATCGCTAGTAGATACCTAAATTATCGACTTAGTGACCTATTTCCACCGAACATAAAAGAAACTCAAAAGAATGTTTATAGAAGTTATGATTGGTATTTATATGAGGCGACAAAAGCTGATTTAATATGTTCGCCTAGAAAACTTTTGGTTGTCCTCTTGTTTTGGAATGTAGGAAGTTTGGTGCAATACGGTATATGTGGTATGACAAATCTGATTGATGAAATTTTCTTCGCCGTATTACTTTTCGCAATGAAAATTTAAAATCAATCTCATTGCTTTCCGATAGTCATCTTGTGGTTTTTTCCGCAACAAGAACGACCTATGGAAATTTATATTACCTTAAATGCGGTAGCATTAATATGTGAAATCTTTCCTATTCCTCTCGTAGTAAAACAATATAAAAAGACCATAAAGGCTAGGAGATCTACTAGTAATAGAAGATATATTCGATAAAATATCACAAGGTACGGTAGAAATTGAAATGTTCTTTTCTTTTCAATCCCTTATTATACGTTAATTGAAATTAAAGATTTTATATAACGCATTGCATTGAAATTTGACTCAATTTAAATGCTTTCAAGAAACAAATTAAAATGCCATGACGCGTTGCCTTGAAGGCTAAAACGTTTATAAAAAAAGAATCCAATCATATTTAACAAACAAGTTGGGCTTTAAGATTTAATAAACAATCAAATAATATGTAACAATAATTTCGATAGAAAAAAAAAAAAAAAAAAAAAATTTTTAAAATCGTGGAATGTATTATTATATAGTTATTATAATTTGAACCAAAAATAAATCTAATATGCCGTGACGCAGAGTTCACGTGAAATTCGACCAATTGGCCGTCAACAACTATATAGATGGCGTTTTTCTAAAATTCTGTCAACGAAACTTTAAACATGTCTAATGACCCATCACCAGAAACGTTACCTCCAATCGATGATACTCAAACAAAAACCGAAGAAACCCCTAAAAATGCTGTCCTAGCAGATATACAATCACCTCAGGAACTTACGGCATATGTAAGTTAAGTTTTATTTAATTAAATTGTTTGAATTTATGAAAATTTTTTTTAATTCATTTTCTATTGATCACTTTAAAGGTCGAAACTGTACTTCAACAATTGGTACTAATTCATAGTTTATGAAGTTCGGTTCTTTTTTATTTATTTATTTATTTTTAACTTGTTAATTATTTTTTTGTATTTTAGAAAGATAAATTTGATGATTTATCCTCACAATTAGTCTTAAAAAGTAATGTATATTTTATTAATTATATTTGGAATTTTAATTTTACAATTTCATTAAAAAAATTTTAATTTGAATAACAGTGGATGATATGGGATCACGAATAGACACGCTTGAAAAATCTTTAGGCGAATTAATGCAACAAACTGTATCTGACGAAATTATAATTGAAGGAGCAAAGACGTGATTTATTATTATTATTATTATTTTTTTTTTTTTTTAAAAAAAAAAACAAAAACTATTTATTCAATATAAAAGTAATTTATTTGAAGCGACTCATTTCTTTTTGATAATAGTCATAGAAAAGGTTAAAAATGTATTGTAATTCTTTATTTGAATATATTTATTTATTAACATTAATTTATCTTCATAATCGTGAGATATAAATAAATAAATATATAATTCAATTTATAGTTTTAGTTCAATTGACTTTCACAAACTGTTTGGCTTGGAAGATGATTTTTATCACATTATTATCAATATTATGCCGTGAACGTTTACAGAATCGCTTCATTTGCTGCTACTCGGGTTATATTTGGTAAAAATATATCTCCGTGGGGAATAATATTCCAATGATTTACTTGGTAAATCTCACATAAAGCCAACCAACCATGGTAAATTATTCGGCTTGTGTATTTTACGGTGTGATTTATATAGGTTAACCGTACTATCTGATGACTTCAATTCACGCAGAAGTTTCTTCTCCTTGTTGTGTTGCCTTATCCCATTACGAACATTTTTCTTATGTGCATCATCCAAGAAAATATCCATTTTCCTGTCCTCCGATGACTTTGATCACTCACTTAAGATGGCGGAAAAGTACCTTATTACACTTATCTGTAATGGTGCTAGGTACATTGACAATTATTTCGGGAGAAATATCTTGGGTTGTATTGACTGTTTGCCCTCCTCATTGCCATCCTTTAGTTTCACTACATCGGTTTTCAGCTCAGCAATATCATCATCACGCCTAACATTCTCGGCTGAAGAATCTGTCTTGCTTTTCTCCAACTCCTCGATTCTGGCCTTGATTTCGGCATTCTCAACATCACGTCTCTTACTTTCTTCCACAACCTGTCTTAGAAACTCGACAATCCTGCCCTTAAGCTCAACTTTTTCGGACTCAGCAAACTTCCTTTTAAGATCAGGGATCTCAGCATTCTCAGCATTCTTATCTTTAAGTTCAGCATTCTCCTTTTTAAGTTCAGAAATCTTAGCATGCTCCTTCCTAAGCTCTGCAATCTCAGCTAAAAGCTTGGCACTTAATTCTCTGAATGAATCAGTGGATTGCATGTTCGATGATAATTTTTTATGAGATGGAATAATTCAAAAGTTCGTTAGCACAGATAAAAAACCGTTACAAAATGTCATGATCGGAACTACTGATTTATTGATGTAAAAAATAAATTACAAGATTCGGTAATACATAAAAAGTGAAATAAGGACCATGCTTTACCTAAACTATTCATAAATTATTCATACTAACACAATAATATCAACTTCATGATCTGCCCCAATCATCAATATTCTGAATATGAAAAATGGCAATTATACTTACAAGCAATGCCAGAAATAAAGCTCCGCTGAGAATTTATCTGCGATTGTTAAAAATTCCTATAGTGCCGAGTTATCCACACTTAAATAATAATTCGTAAGTCGAATTACTAATTACCCCCTGATAAATACTATAAATACTCATATCAATTAACATCGCTTTTGTTTTGTAATATAAAGGTTTCTCTTCTAATTTCTCCAAAATGATGTCTTTGCAACAAGTTGCCCAAAAATTTAATTCATTCGTATCGTTATTATTACCCATTGAGTGGTTTACATGGTTTATCTATTTCGTGATCCTTCCGATGACTTGTTTATTTGGCTGGCTGGTCTGTCTCCTCACTCTTAAAACTTTTCTAATCTCTATCGTTTTCTCTAAATTTTTTTCCTTTCCACCAATGTCATTTCCCTTAGGCACCATTGCTTTTATATTTGCTAACGTGCAATTATTATTAAGGGGTGAGCGTTAGGCAATATCAAAAATCAGATTCACGTGAGATAAATGATAATCATATAGTTTTATCTAATAGCGATGACAAAAAATTTAAACCTTCACTCATGAACGGAACTTCGAGTGATAATAACATAAACGAGTATGTAAGGTGTAATTTTAACCAAGCCATTTGTAAATAATCCTTTTTCACGGTTATTTTTAGATTGTTTGTTTCTACCAGAGAGGCTCTTATGACCGTTCTCCCGCAAGCCTCCGACGAAAACATTAGAAAGTACGAGAGACAACTTGATGACGTAGAAGATTTTGATCCAGTTCTAATCATTTCTCCAAACCAAAATTGGATTAACCAACACTCATTGCAAGCTTATCAAGCGGTAATGAATGCATTTGCGACCGATAGACTCCGACAAAATAATCGCAGAGATGAAAATTCGCTTACTGTGTTCCACTTCGCAAATGTGACTGAAATGTACAATGTACGTGGAAACATTCGCACACAATATCCCATTGCATTCTACGACCCAAAAGCTCAACCTCAACAGGAGCCGATTGGTATCGCTTGGATACTTACTAAGGTGGGGGTGCGCAGGAGTGATTTTGGGGAGGATGATTCATTTTTTGTTTCACACGAATAATTGTTATCAATGAATTATAACAAAAATATACGCAAAGCAACACGAAAGCAAATGTTAAAAATCAAGTGAATTCTTTTTTTAATGAAATAAAGTTCAAGTCAATTTTTATAGTATATTGACTGTCTATGTGCTATGAAAATTCACGGTTAACGGTTTTTATTATTCCAATGCAATTACATAACCGCACGAAAAATGCATACACGTTAAAAAATCCTTCTTCCCCTCATCTGTTCGGAAAAAAATGAGTATTTATGTCTTTCTCAACTGTGATAACGTCATTATAAGAAGGCAAACCCGAAATATGTGATTAATTTTTCAGGCACATAAGTTCCCCACAATAAAATTCAGAAGTGAGAATCCCAGAATCAAGTTAACGTTAATTTTTTCTTATCAATAGTTTTTTTATTTCGTTATTGTAAAATTTCAAAAAACTTTTATTTTTTTTTATATTTATTTTAGCAATTATATTCTTTATTAAGGAAATTAAAAAATCCAACTATACGTCAATATATTATATATAAAAAAATTTAAAATGTTTAATTATTTCTTCTTATAAGCCTAATAGATGTTTTCGTTTTTCAAATCGCCACATTAATGACATTATCGGCTATGGTCACGTTATTCACGTTATGCAAAATTTTACCGGTTCTGACGATTAAAATTTGTTTGTTATGACATATACACCAAAATTGGCAATAAAAATAAAAACAATGATCAATTTTGCGTAGTGATGATCTTTAACTTTTCTTACTGCGCCATCGAAGCATATGTTCATACCGCAAAGGATGTCAAAAATTGGATTATACAGAAAAAGATTAAGATTCTTCCAGATTGGCCTTCTCAATCTCCAGATCAATCCTATTGAACATTTGTGGCATGAAACTGAAACGGAGACTTCGAAAATGATTGGGGTATCCAAAAGATTTATATGAGCATTGCAAGAAGAATGGAAAAAATTCCATCCGAAACTTATATTAATTTAATTGAAAGCATGTCACGTCATGTATTGAAAGTCAAAGGATAGCCAACTAAATATTAAAAATTTATAATATTTATAATAAAATATAATTTTTAAATTGATTGACCGGATACTTTTGATAGGGTAGTGTATTTAGAAATTTTGTATTATATTAATTATTATTGATGACTCGAATTCTATAATCATTCCTTACTAGAATCAGCTAATATTAATAAGAATTTAATGATTTAATCAGGCGGATAAAATGCAAAACGCGTACTTATAATAATCAAAAGTTTAATCAGATTTAAGACGCGTTCGTATAGCTTGACAAAGTTAATTTTAAATAATATATAAAACTTTTCAAAAAGCCGTTTTTTCTTTTAAAAGTCCTTTTTTAACATTTATTTCTTAACTCGTAATAATAAAAAAAAATGTCTAATATCTTTATGAATATCAACGAGCTTTCTTTCACTAATAAAGAAAGAACCGAGCTACGTATTTTTTTTGCTTACAATGACGCAACTAAGGTAGAAGAAATTCTTTCAACGATTACAGAAGAAGTTGAGAAAGTTGAATTCTTGAGGATATACGTCAGCAAATCAAGAGGTAAGCCTTTTGCGCCATAGTGATTGGTTATGATAATGTCTTACCCAGTAACTAACTTTGATCAACTCGAACGTAACGCGTTAACCTTTTTTGTTCTTTATTTCCTGCACACGACGAAACGTCAAATAGAAGAGAGTCGAAAACTATATATTGCCTCTGATAGACATTCTATAGAACTGCCATCCCAAATCATTAACATCCTTAACAGTGGCGAATTCGTACCTGAACCACGCACAAAGTTTGCAGCCATTCTATAAAATCTTGAAGTAGGCCAAAATATTACGCTGCCAAATTTTGGCCAGGAGCCCAAACACTTTGCACTGGGCTACCAGGGAAGGAAACTTTGTATAACAAATCAAATGATAGATATGTGGAGCCTGCTTTCAAAAGATGATGGAAACTCAATTAAGCGTGTCCTATTGGGACCCATGGGTGTGAAAAAGTCGTATCTTGCACTTTTTCTTGCGGCAAAAGCCTACTCTAAAGGATGGCTAATACTTTATATTTCAGACGTGGCAGAACTTATCAAACCTACAATGGAAATGGTATCGAAAGAAATTTGTAAGCGTTTTCTGGCAATTAACAAAGACATTCTAATCGCTAACGAGCTCAAAAAATTGGTAGAATTTGTTAGTGAAGACGATGTTTTTGTGACCTATGCCTCATTAATTTGGGACCTGCTCAAGCAAAAAGATTGTAAAACTCTCTTAGTAGTTGATGAGCATGGTGTATTGTTCGACCTTGATCCTCCAGTGCCTGATCGTCTTATCATCTTAATATCTTTGAAGAATCTCAACTTTTGGGAAGAGAAAGCAGCAGAATCACGTGTGATATTTACTAGTACTGCACATGCCAAGTTTGAGAAAACTTACCTGATTAATGGTATGCATAATTGGTAGGTCGAATATGTTTGTCTTCTAACAGAAGAAGCTTTTGATAAGCTGCTGAACCTTCATCCTTTCCTGAAAAAACCAAGTATTGCAACAAAAGTGAAAAGAATTGTCAACTGTGTTCCGCGCGAACTTATATATTTTGCTAAATACGTAAAAGACTCATTCAGAAACTATATTCCTGATGAAAGAATTGATATATTACTAGAAAGCTTTCAAAATGATCGACATGATGAATTTTTGAAAGCTGCAAGGATTTATTTTAGTACACTTGATCACGGCTCTAGAATGGATTATTGCAGATCTCTTTCTAACATGTTTTTAAGATCGTCAGACATGAAACTCAATGTAAGCTTCGACTGGAAATTCTTAGACACTGGCCTAGTATATCGGTTTAAAGACTAAGATAATCGTGTAAAGTTTAAACCACTGTGTCTAGCAGCCTCAGATGCACTTTTGGATATATATCGTACTTTTCCATTGCCAGAAGATATTAATGTTACCTCACTTAAAAATGGGAAACTCACTGATGATAACTTCGAGGAGATATTGTTCCAGCAGTTGTTGAATCATCGTGATGTACTTTTCAATGCAACAAACCTATGCAGGGAACAAGTAATGAATGTACATATCAAATTCCAGCACTTCTTTGTACTTGAGAAGAATCAGCTCGCTCCTGAACCGCGGCTTGCAAATTCACTAATTCGTGGTTATGCACGTTATCCGCAGTTTAATTTTATGATTAGATACTTATTTATTCAAGTGTCTATAAGCCCTTTCGATCAACATAATAAGGAATCTGCAAATATTGACAAAGCATTTGAACGATACTGCAAAGAAGGCAATAATTCAAAAAACTAGATAGAGTTGTACTTGGATACGACATTTAGTGGTCAGCATACGGCTTTACACATAAATGGCAAGTTTGTCATTCCTAAAAACAATATCCCTATTGCACAAGACTTCCGAATTGTTTATATGTGTGGCAGTCCTATTTCTCTTAACCACACTTGCTTAGTTAAAAAATATCAAGATGTAGCGCTTATCTCTTATGAAGAGATAAAGTCTAAGCTCTTTGGTAATTTTTTGAAAAATTGAAGCTTTCTTTTTACCGTTAAAGTCTAATTCTACTGTCATTCATTTTAAAACCAATACTTTATCCATTAAAGCTACATTCACTGATGTGTATTTTATAAAATTATTAATAAAAACAATTATATTTGCTTGTATTCAGTGTTGTAAACAATAAGAAAAGTTTACGGTAGTTTTCATACGTAAACATATTTTCTTTAACTCTATATTTATTGTGGGGACATTTAGGATTCCCATCTATATACAAAAATTCCCAGAGGATCAAATAAAGTATACCAAATTCTTTACAATTATGAAAAGTCAGTTTATATACGTCATGCCACAAACCGATTTACAGTATATGCATGTAAATATAAAATTAGCACAGGCTCTATTTGGTGATAGAATGTCGTTTAACCGGAAGGATAGCTGGGCTAGTCGAGGTCAAGAAGGCAAGGTTTTGCGCAAACTACTGTACAGATGGAATCATTGTTGACATATCGTAAACACAAAGAAAATGAAATCAATGAATGTGATATGGATAAAGTATGGGGGATCGTAACTGATGCAGAAAAATGGTATTTCATGGAATGTATGTATGGTGAGGAGAAAAAGCCAGTGTTTAAGCTATCGGAACCCATGATCATTTTATACGATGATAAGAATTTTGAAACTAAGGTAGAAAAAGGTCTTTGGTCATATTGTGTGGTTGTTGAAGAAGGCGCAAAAGCCAGTGAAAGTTTCGACGGGCAAACAAGGCATCCGAAAAAAATGAGGTCAACGGGTAATCTTGTGAGAGAATCGGGTTAGAATAAGGTTTAAGATAGCAAACATTCGATATGTATATTAGTCCGCAGTCGAAAGCTATGTCCTGAACATTTGTATTTATTTTTTTGCATGTATTGATAGTGAAAATTTTACATTTGACATGATTGTTAATATTTTTTATATACAAAGGGAAATGTTCAATGTTATGTGGCAGATAACGAAACTAACCCATCTGAACTTGAAGTATTGAAACAGCGTTTCACTGAACTTAAGACCGAGAATGCTAAGAAAGTCGAGTTTAAGGCCAAAAAAGTTGAGTTTCTAAAATCTACCAAAAAAATATTATACAGATTTTGAGAGTTATATACCACCTTGAGAGTATTGAGGATTTAATTCTTGAGATCAAATGCTCAGAATGCAAAAATAAATCAATTTATAAAAGAATATGAAAGGAACTGAAATCTAAGAAAAATTGCAAATTTCAGACTAGATGTATCCAGATAGCTAAGAAATTCTTCATGAAGAGCTAATAATTGAGTATCGCCCTCTTTCATGTAAGGATTAGAGCTTGATGACTTCTTTCAAAAAATATCAAATTGCATTGTAAGTGTAAGGGACTTAGCATCAGCTTCATAACACTAACTGATATAAGAATATCAAAAAACTCAAGGACATTGTCAGTAAAAAAGATGCATTTGTCAAGATAATGGAATTTTCCTTTTTAAGGTATGATATGATCAAAACCCAAAAATTGTTATTCTGGAAAAATACGAAAAATTAAGGAATTCATTAATTAAGCATTTAGAAGTTTTGATCTCTTGTAATCTATAATAACCTTATAATAGATCTTGAATCTGAACAACGTGTAGTGATACAAGATAATGCCATGATATGTCATTTGAAATATCTTTAGACGCATATAACATAGCTTATTATTTTCATACAGTAAAACCTTCATAAATGCACTTTCTATAAATACACATTCTATGTAAATTCTCTCTAAATACAAAGTAGGTTTTTGTTCTAACTCATAAGAGCTCTTAATATTTTATTCTCTATAAATACACATCCTCTCTAATTGCATATTCTGCTATTTTTTTATTATAGTCCCAAGAGGTATCACTTATGGAGGTGTCACTGTAACTCTTTCATTTTTTCATCCTTCATATCTTGTTCTATTCTTTGCAAGTTTTTTCCCTATATCAAAGGAAAATTAACACAAAAACTACTATTCAAAGTTTGTTATCACAGTAGGTGTTTTTCATCTTCATTCTCTAATAATACCCTAATAATGATTTGAGTTATATTACATGTTAGATTATTGGGATAGACCAAATACCAGTTAGGGGAACAAAGATATGTAGGATTGCTACTATTACTGTAAAATCCAAAAGCAACAGAATGCAAATCACATGATGCTTTAGAAAATGAATTAAAAATATTAATCCAGAATCTGAAGCCAGATTTGAAAGAACTTGAGAAGATACATTTAATGCAGTATGATTTAAAAGTCAGTGTTCTCACATATTCTTATAAGCAATGAATATGCTACACCTGATGTGCTACACCCGATACTGCTAGTATAGAGAAAGATATGCCCAAACGTGTACAATTTTAATATACATCCTATGGCGTGCACAGTTTCTTTAATTAAGATCTAGACTAAGATCTACTAGTTCTGAAGGAGGAATTGATTATGTACCTATATACTTTTCTTAAGTTACTTATTATGAATATTATTGATTACATTGACTTTGACTGACAGTTATCTTCTTTATGTAAAATTCATAAAATGAAAACAAAAAGTTAAAGGAAAAAAAATCTTAATCTAACATCGTTAGATATAACTCTTGTTTACCTTGTTCAAGAAGATCCATCCATAAACACTTTTTTTGTTAATATTAATATTAACAAACCTGTTTATCACTTCAAGAAAGCTATAAGAGATAAGAAGTCACCTGAATTTAACAACTTTACTCCAGATAAACTCGATCTAAGGAAAATAAATATCAATGATAATAGTAATGAGTTATCAAATCTTACACTTCATAAGTATGAAAATCTTAAAGCATCAAGAAAAAGAAGAAAGTTAAATTAAAACGACTCCTGATCATCAAATGTGTAGTTCAACCTTCTTCAACTTAAAAATTATGGGTGTTTATAGCTCTCAATTTTGGTTTCTCTTGATCTGACTTTTTAACTTGATACTGATGTATCATTTAAATTTCTTGGTGATAAATTAATCATTTGTTATATTTCATTTGATTTTTTTGAAGGAAAATTCTAATGATTGATCAATCTAAACGGGTTTGTAATATAATTATAGAAGATAATCAATTTTATTTTTATTATTTTTACTTTTATTTTTATTTGTAATTATTATAACATAAATTAATAAATATATGACAGTATCATATCGTTAAAAAAAATAAAAATAAAAATAAAAAATAAAGCATCAAAAAAAAATAAAAAAATTTTTACTGAAAAACCTACTAAAAAGCATGTTCATGTAATAGTTTCACTACCAGCACTTACGAGCATATCAGGTCAAGAAGGTACACATACAAATGATTTTGATATTGTAGTTGTTTAAACATGTAATGAGAGATTCTTATTTACAGTTAATTTACTTTTTAAGGTCATGATATTCAAAAGCGACGTAAAGCTGATGTTCAGAATGAGAATCTTCAAAAGGTATTGATAATGAAAGTTTTTTATTGACTATCCAGTCTCATCATATAACTACAGTATATTAACTACTATAATTTATAATTTCTAATATTAAATTTAACCAATCCTCTTGTTCCTTTTCTAAATCTTTCGTTGGATAATCAATTTTATATTTCAATATTTTATTCTGTAAATATAATAAAATCGTAATCAATAATTAAATTAAAGTGTTGTTATTGAAATCTTATGTATGTACTTACCAATTGATATCTCATATATTTTAATATGGTAGAAGTTTTACTAGGACATTTTAATCTAATCCATTTATCAATTATCAACAATTTATGCTCATGCTATATGAACAAAAAAATTTTCAAATAATTAAATTTTATGTTAATAGAAATATATAACTTTATAGATATCTACTTACCTTAATCTCAATATCTTTTCCAAACAAAATCATATCAACAATTTTAATTTTATTAACATCTCTAACATATAATTTAGCAGTTTGTATTAAAGTATTATAAACAAACCAATTTCTTTCATTAACTTGATTCTTTTCTTTCAAATTCAATGTAGATGATTTCTTGAATGCAATTGAAGATGGATGAATGAAAACTCTTTGTTGATTTTCTTTTTCACTAGTTAATATTTTATTATTCAATATAGTAAAATATTGATTTGTAGAAGGATCTTGATAAATTATTTTTGGATATAATCCTGCTAAAGTTACTGCATTAATTATAGCATATGAATTACTATTTTGATTATAATCCGATGGAATAATACAAAGTGATCGAGATTTTTGAAATCTAAATCTAAATAATAATAATAATTAATTTTATAACTTCTTTATATATTTTTTAAAAAACAAAAAAAAATCTTTTGATAATTTTGACCAACCTGCTTAAATCTTTTTTAATTGATTCATCTACTTTAACAAATCCAATATTGACCAATAATTCCAAGAATTGTTTTTTAATATCTTCAATCATTAGCAAACATTGTAAACTTAATAAATTCTTTTCACAAAATTCTCTAATAATCTTCCAACCTCTTCCATTTGCTTTTTTTTTTATAACAACTTTATCATATAATTCCCTCCATGAAATATAACCTTTATATATTGTTAATAAATCTGATCCATCTTCCTTAAATTCATTTTTAATATCAATATTAGATTCACCAAATGATATTAAGAATGGTGATTTATAATTAAGTATTGCTGATATTGTTAATATTGGATCAAGGCATTTAAATATTGATCCAAATAATATCATTTTTCCAAGATGAACATCTACTGGCATATGTGATAAATGTACTCCTAATGGTGTTAATTCCTCTTCTGC